ATTTGTGCACTCCAGAAAAAGTTAAAAACCCACAAAAAAAAAAAAAACGAAAAAAAAGCCGCCATTCGAGAGTGGAACGCGCTAACACATCCGCCTCGCTGGGCGCCATGTTGCAACTTCAAGACAAACAGAACTGACTGTGGGCAGTTTTTCTTGTCCTCAATAATTTAACAAATTATTTTCTCCTGTAAACAAAATATAATTGTCTAGTGTTAAGCCCTCACGGTAGGCTTTTAAAAAAAAAAATATCTGATGGCAGTTTTTCAGCTGTGTGCCTCAAAATCTCTATTATGCATGTTCGAGATGACCCGCATCAGTGCAGATTTATCCACTGGCAATCGGCTCACAATGCATGCCAGTAGTTTTCTGTCCAACTTGATCCTGAGGCGGCTGCAGTTTTTGGAGCTTGGCACAACAGTTGTTCTCCACCGACTGCAAGAGCTCAGGGTATGATGGGAAATGCCTGGCTCTCACCTGATCTAAGAGCTGATTGGCTGAGATGACGTTTTATAGAAACATATCATTTCTTGTACAGCTGCAGTGATTGAATTTTTTGCACTATGAAGGTTTATTCTGTTAGAATAAATGTGTGGCTGATGGTGATTTTTATCGGTCAGAGAAGCTGAATACAGTCATTGTACAGTGCATTACATATAGTTCTCATAGACTGCTATCTGTGATAGTTCTGTTCTACATTATGAACTGATTCATTTCATGAAGTATTATTTAAGTGACACAAATGCCTTTGATGAAGATTCTTTCAGTGACATCTGAAGCAGTGGCAGACTAAATGGAAGAGAGAAATGTAGCCCAAATACATGTTCAGACACAATATTGAGGAGATCAACACAGATCAGCATGTTATCTCTGTCCTTGTCATATACTGTAAGTGTGACCCTGAGTAGAAGCTGAAAAGTTGGTTTGGTTTGATGACCTTTTATTAAATCGGGATCAGACCTAACAGGATGAGTGTTTCTGTGACTTCCTGTACAGACTGAAGGCTGGTGTCAAGCTCCTAAACTGTCCGTCTTGACCGGTTTGGTCACCGACCCCTGCCCTCCTCCGCTTTCCAGTCGAGGCGCAGTTCATCTCTAACGAACCTGTTTTCTGTTTGTCCCGTTTGCGTAATCTAGAATAACAACCAGTTTTGCGTCCTCGTACTTGCACCAATAAGTCCTTTGAGCATTTTCGTCACTTACCCCGTCCAAGGAAAACGGATGATGGTGGAGAAATAACCTAGCCCAAGTTCTGTATATTTTCAATGTAAATAAAAGGTAAGTTGTGCCTCGGATCTATGCCACATTTAACATTATGTACCTGTGCCTCGGGGGCTGTGTTGTTAATGATTTGTTTTCTCTTACAGCCGAACCACGGCCACAATAAATTAGACATATTTCAAACAGACTTTGCAGGTGTGGTTCATTACACAAGATGTGCCCGGTAAGGAACAGGAAGACAACATTATACAGTATCAATTTTACGCCAGCATTTAATAACAGAAGTGAAGGAGAAGTAATTTGTCCCATGCTGTATCAATGTCCACTTTCACCCCCCACTCCCAAAAGTTTTTTTTAAATTAAAATAAACTAGTCAAACAAATTGCACTGAATCTTACATACCCGATCAACTCGAGGAGAAGACTGTTCAGGCTCACTCCAGTCGATGATTTCGCTCGCATCAGAGCAAAAATCTGCGGAAACTTTAGCACCATGCATATAAACAATGTGCTGAAATTGGCAACATGCAACAAGCTATCGGACTGCATTTTGGAGCTTCAAAGAACATGTGAAAAAATTTAGATTGCCGGATCTCTACAATTTTACCAAAACTAGGGACCAGTTTCTGAGGGTCAAGATAATGTAATTTAGAAATACTTGAGTTCTAAACTTTCAAAATAAATGTAGCCTACATAAAACCTATTTTGGATTTGGGTGAAAACATTTTGTAAATATCTAAGAGTATACAAAACTGGGATGTTGAAGCTATTGCAAGTTTGAAAATAACTGCTTTCCTAACTTGTGTGTGTGTGTGTGTAAGAGAGAGATACCTTTATTTTGAAGGCCGGATTTGTTTGATTCTCTTCATGATTTTGTGACCTTAACTCAGTTTGAATGTATCGTGTAGTTTCCTGTCCGTCGGCATTTGTTCTCACTTCCGCATACGTCAACCCAAAGCTGATTGGCTGGTTGTGCTGATAAATGCGTTTGAATTCCTCATTTGTCTCTCCCTTCTCATTTAAATGAGTCTGTAGGCCACTCCAGTATGAAACTACAGTATAAGAATACTATTTTTCTGCAGTCACATGATGGTTACTCTATAAGAATAAATTCCACTTGGAATTATTTCCAAATTAGTCTTGAAAATGGCATCAATGTATAATTTGCTGTACTGATTAAACTATATGTTGATCTGGTGCTTAATAAAATTAATTCAATACTCTAGGCTTTAAAATCTTTATTTGAACAGGACATTGACCTGATAATAGCAACATCCACATTATCATCCATCTGAAGATACAAGCTTCAAATTCACTAGGAACCAAAATTGTTATTGCAGTTAAGGCAAAGGGGCAGTGTGATTTACAACAGTGTTATCATAGCTTTAAGAATGGCATTTTGAGATGTGCTACCATTCACATAAAGTGCAGGTGGGTATGAGCTACATCATTATGAAATAAAAAGTAGTTTCATGGCCCTACCATGGAACAGTGGTTTAGACATCCTAAAACATGTAACAAGGATATTTAACCACTTTAAGCCTGGTTTCAAGCATTATATTTTCTCTTTTGCTTGTTTATTGTGAGTCCCTGCAATACTCTCTGTCTAGCCAGGTTTCTGCAGAGAAATGTAGTAGTGAAACCTATTATTCATTCAACTTTAATCAGGTGTGTTGTTAGATGATCAAGTATCTGATTAAACACATGATAGAGCTTGGATGACAGGAATATGATCTGCCAATGTCTCCCCTTCTTGTCTTTATCAGTGAAATGACTTTCACAATAAGGTTTACACTCTTTGCATGTAGCATTTTTGCCACAAATAAACCACCCAAACCTATAACGACACAGAAATTATAAGACATGATCAGTGAATAACTGAATATGAATACAATGTAGTACAGCAAAGATAATTTTCTTATTACTCCTGACACATTCCCTGAAATGGCTTCTGAACATATTGCTGTTTTTTTCAACCAATTCCCTCAGCATTACAATAACAAAAACCTTAAAGAAAGAAAGGGAAAAAACACCCACTGCCATATCAATCTGAGCTCCTCATAAGGACAGTATAGTTTGAAACAACAGCAAAACAAAAAAAACTAAATGAACAAAAAAATAAAAAACTAACTCTGATGTGCTGAGGTACAGATGTGAACTGCTTTGTCTCATGGTCTAGCAGGGCAGCATCTCTGGATCCAGCTTGTGCTTGTGATGGCTTTCAGACCAGAGTAGCAGCCTATCCAGTTTGAGCAGTTCACTTCCCAGTGGAGTGGACAACCTGCTGCCAAACATCTGGTTGGTGGTGTTGGGGATGCAATCGGAAAAGAGTGACACATAGCTGGGTAAAGGCTCTTCTGTCTTTAGCTGTCCCTACAAACCCACAGGGGTAAAGTCACAGTTAGATGCTTGCTGGAAACATTCAGCTAGATGTGGTTTGACAATAGAGCTATAAATTTATCAGGGACAAATGAGACTTAGTTATCCTGTAATCAACTAGCCTACCACACATCCTTATACCCGATAGCCTACTGCCATTAACAATAATACTCTACTGAGTATTTAGATACAGTATGTGTACTGCAAGGTTGGTGTAGGCCTAACATGACAAAGAAGACTTACTGTGAGTGATAATAATTTGGATAAAAAGCTTTGGCAATATTGCAATTATTTAAAATGCTTACACAACAGGTCAATTTTTATTTTCACCATGTTTGTTTGGTGCAGAGTATGACAGGTAGTATCTCAATCACAAGAACTTGCAAATGCTTCTTATGTTTTCAATGCATTTAGTGTTTTTGAGTGTCATGCCATTGGTGAAAAATCTGGATATTTATTCATTTGAATATACAAAGAGGTTTAGCGCCAATAAGGTTTTTAGATGAGAAGTAAAGTTCTTTATTTCACAGGAATCTCAACATTTGTGCAATTTAACATATAGGCTACATACTGTATGTCAGAGGTAAAAGTAACCAAGTACACTTACTCCAGCACTGTAGCTAAGTACAATTTTGAGGTATCTGTACTTTATGTGAGAATTTTCTTTTACTTCATTCTTCAATGTCACTACATCTAATAATCAGGATAATCACCTTTATTTGGCCAAGTATGTTGCACACACAAGGAATTTGTTTCAGGTACAGAACCGAGGCAGCCATCTGCAGTGCTAACTCACACCAATGGCTCTAACCATTGGAGGCAACTTGGGGGTTCAGTGTCTTGCCTTTTTTACTCCACTATATTTATTTGATAACTTTAGTTACTAGTTAATTTTCGGAATCAGATGAGTAAATAAAATACATTATAATAAGACTTTGTTGATCCTTGTTGTAAAATTCACAAGCTACCCAGCAGTATGTAAAGTACTTCAAATTATACCACATAGGGTATAAATTAGCTCAATTTTTACCAGTTGCAGCATTCAATTTGATGTACACAATAATGTATCAGTAATGATAATATATACTGTACACATTATTGTGAAATGTGCCACTGTGCATAATGAGTCGATTTACCTTTCAGCACATGGTTATGCTATTACTTTTTTGCTGTATGTAGTCTTACCATCGGGTCATAGTTTCTGAGAAAGCTCCAGTTCTTCTCCCTGTGGACCATGATAGGCTATTGGTTAAGTCTGTTTAGCTTCAGCTTCAATTGACTCCAAGACTTTAGAGTAATCAACATGGAAATTAAGCCTTCTCTTCCACACATTATTTAAACGGCTTAGTGCCGAGTCATACTCACCATTCCCGCACTCCTCTCACCTCTCTCCATACCAGCTCTCTCCACACTTGGTCCTGTTTAACGGGATCTCTCTTGTCTGGATTTTGCTCCAAGGACACCGCGTCTCCTTTAGCGTAGCGCGTTCTGTCCGCAGGTGGCTGGGTTGTCTTCGGTCTGGTTCCATCGGATCGTTCTGGTAACCGGTAACCCGCAGAGGATACACGCCTTATATTGTTCAAGTCCATTTTGGTGGCTAGATTATAAAAATAATGCATCTGTTAGAGGCGCCAGTTATTGCGCTTGGTTTGTGTGCCTGTAAGCGAGGTTATGTAAAGCAATCACTGCCACCGTTTTGTTTACGTTTCCATGGAAACGGTGTTCGGGCACTTATCGCTTAGCCTGTACTGTTTTTACAGCTGAGGACATAGGCTACATTCAGGATATAGGCTACAGTATTGTGTTTTTACAGCTGAGGACATAAGCTACATTCAGGATATAGGCTACAGTATTGTGTGAATAGGACCTAGGCTGCATCATCACTCTCAGGGAATCTGGTGCAACTGCGAAATTGAAGTTTGGCGGAGCTGTCGCTGCACTACAAATTGAAGCAGACGTTTGTATATCCTAAGCCGGAGTCATTATTTAAAATTATTTATTACATTTTTTGTTTAATTGTATTGGTAGCATATTGTGCGTACTGACTTTTATTTCTGGATGTAATGTCCAGAGGTTGTTGGTCATGATTTCAAGAGACTAAATCACCATTCTCATCTCCATCACTCATGCTGACACGCAGACCCACACCGACACACCTGAACTGGATAACAAAACAGGGTAGTGACAAATGTTGGTGGAAAGATGGAATGGCTGACTGCTTGGAGCAGACCTGAACTTGAACCGGTTAACTGTTCACCAACAAGAAACGAGGTCTAAGACAGTGGCAGCGGCAAGTGCTGAGGCCTCTTCAGCATCTATCTATCAGTGAGACTGGCCTTGGATGTGTCCTGCATCCCATTGTTTCCCTTGGGACATCTGTTGGATTAAAAGATGGCTATAGACATGCATGCAGACTGGTATGATAAGGCAGAAGTTGACTTTATATGGTTGACAGGTCAACTTCTGCCTTATCATACCAGTCTACATGCATATCCTATGGGTATGAATGTAAGCAATATGCTGTAGAAGATATCAGTGTATCAAAGTGAATGTCTGAACCACATCTAGTGTACTGTAGGGCCTAACAGAGGCTAGGTTGTGAATTAAAATAAGAAAACAGGCTACTTTATACCACTTAAAAAAATAAAATAAAATAAAATATGTAAAATGTTTTGAAATGATTTAATAACAAATATTTAAAAATAACAGTTTATGTGAAAAACCTTTCTGTTATGCATTAATAATAGACTACCGTGCTATTCAAACGGCAACTGCCACCCGGAAGTGTACAATAAACGCTTTTATTCTGGAACAGGATGTGTATTCATTATACAGCACAGAATTTAAATCCGCTGCTAGCCTTCTTATTATTTTCCAGATGAGCGAACTGCAACAAGCAGCGAGGTCAAGGTAAAAATAATTTTTGTGTCATGTTGGCTTTCTAACATGATGTTTGTTTCTGTTTGTAGTCGTAAAATGCATATATTTAAGCAGCTACAAGACTTGGGCTAATATTTGCCCTAGATAACGTTGTCAGTTACTTTCGAAGAGCCAACGTGAGTGAACATCAGAGACAAGGCACTTCATCTCTCTTGGCAACTTTTTCCACATTGCAGGAGCATAAAGTCAGTGGTTGCTAATGGTTCACTGTCACTAAGCGTCAGGTAAAACAGATGTGTAAGCTAGCTATCTGTCACTAAGCCCAAACCGGCTTTTAAACATATGCTAGCCCTGTAACAGTTTCCTATTAACAGGGACATATTTTAAATGTGTAAGATATTTGAGAATTGCATAGCTTTAGTGCTGCAAACGAGTGAGATGAGAGACTGGGTATTGCTGAGTAGACTGACCTCTTTAATGTTAGCTTGGTACAGGAAATGTCCACGCTAAAACTCTACAAAGTGTACACCCAGTAGCCCGACATGAGTAATGTAGCTTAATAGGTTGAATGTTAGTTGTATGGAATAATGCTCGACCGCAGATGAGTGGAATGTAAACAGGTGTTTTCAATTATCTCCGTTAATTAGACCTCTGCTTAGGCTGAAGGCGAATGGGGCTGCTGGGAATTCAAGGATCCGACCAAGCTACATGTACTGATAAAACGTATAGGGGTGTGTAATTAGGCCAGGTTAAAGCACCTGTGCTGGTGTCTCATTTGTGTGCTAGGACTTGCTAATAATCAATCTGGAGACCCTGAACAGCTCTTCTAAAATGCCCAGTTAATGAACTATGATTCTCAGGGAATGTTTGTGTGCATTGATAAAATCCTACAACAGAACTGTATAATGTTTTTTTTATGATATCATGTTCATCATGGCATTTGAAAGATTCACAGACACAGAAATTAGTCAAAACAACTAGTTTGGATGTCTGGAATAAGTAGGTGTAAAGCAGCGGATGCCAAAATGAGTTACCAGGTATTGTTTCTTCATTAGCTTTGAGGATGGGAGTGTGATGATGTCATGGGTCAGACAAACAAGGAGAGGCTTATTGTAAACCAGGCTATTGTCATGGGTCAGACAAACAAGGAGAGGCTTATTGTAAACCAGGCTATTGTCCCAAGTCACAATGCAGAGTCTTAATGCCTAGACAGTCTGTCTGTGACCTGAGAGAGGCATAGAGAATTTCTCATCTCACTCCACTCAGCAGAGAAAGTTGGTGTTGAAAAGCTAGTACATACCAAATGGAACCATGAAAACCTGTGTAGCCCGTTGGCAAATACTGGGCTGGTACTTCTTACAAATGAATATGGCTTGTGTTGTTACAGCTTTAATTGTATTTGTGATGTAAATGCCAATTCTGGGAAAGCTGTATTGGTTACCACACTAGGTTCACCCTCTTTATGCAGTCATAGTAATGTGATTGGTCGAAGGAATCTGGCAACCTGTGTTACCTGCTGTGATTGGGGGGAGAGGGGTGTGTGAAAGAAGTTGCAAGGGGTTAGAGAAAACAGAGGGAGAGAAAAGAGGGAGAGAAATTTGCCCAGGGCCGGGCACGAATGCTGTGACAAACTTTCGCCGACGGAGCCAGCCGGTTTGCCGTGTGGGAGCTGTGAAGCGGAGACGGTAAACTCACTTTGAAGATAGTGAGCGGCGCTTAGCTTTAGCCGTGCTAGCCGGCTCTGGTTAGAGCCCGAATGTGTTAGTGGGACGAAATGTTAGGTAATGGTTTACCAAAGGAGGCAGGAAAAGCAGAAGTGTAAATAATAAAATGAATGACTGAACTCCATTCAGCTACTTCAATGTCATGATGCTGCGAATGCTGGCTCATTGTCACTGTCAGGGCTGAATAGGATGGAGCCATTGTTAATATTATTAGCAACACCTGTGCTTCTTAGTCATTTTTGGCATACTGAAACCCCATTATTTCAGATTCCCCCCCCCCTTTAAAATGGAGAAAAGTGCTTTTTTGCAAAGATGTAAAAGATGCACCTCTCTTGCTGGAGCTGGTAGGGAATCAGAATCTTGCCTGTGGCTGGATTCTTGCTTTCAGGGGGAATTGAACACAGACCTTAATGATGAGGGACATTCTTCTGGTCACAACCACCATTTTGCAGCCCTTTTATTGCACCATCACCCTACAGCCACATTCTCTGCATTGTAGGTCTTTGGTTGACCAGTTAGATGTGGTGACAGTGGGGTCAATGGTGCACACGACTGGAAAATGATAGTAGCATTCCAGCTGAGGAGAGTCAGAAGTGTGCAGCCTGTAAATAGCCACTGAACCTGGGAGACGGGGGAGCAACAGGGTATAATCAGAGAGAGGGGTGGGTAACTGGAGATTGAAGAGGGGACAGCTTATGTGCTTGGGAGTTATTTTGGGATGCAACTTGGTTAGATGTTTTACTGGACCCAGTCTTTGTCTCTTGATTTTAGTTTAGCGGGACTGGGTGGCTCTCATGGAAATCAACAAGAAAGGGGATAAAGGAGAAGATGACAGTGAGTTCTGGTTGCTTGGGTGGATTTTAAGCCGAGTTGCCTTTCCAGGCTTTGGCCTGTGAGTGTGTTTGCTTCTAGTTGAACTTCTTAAGTGTTCTGTCCTTTTCCCCAGCTTGCTATTGTCCTTTAACAAGTGTCAGTGTTTCAAGGTTAGACTTGTAATTAAACATATGCACCATAAATGTATTTTGTTTTAAAATCTGTGGCCACTGTTATCAACCCATGAAATGGTGAAATCAGTGTAGGCCTATACTGGATGTAAGAGAACTCATGAGTCAATTTGTCTGAGCGTGTTCCATTTCAAAAGGCTTTGACTGAAGTGAATAAAAATATCACTAATCAATATTTAACTTTAAAGGTGTGATATTTTTATCCAGTAAATTCCACTTTGAGGTTTCATCACAAAATACTAGACCCACTTTAGGACCAAAACTGCTCATGATTTTAGTGGGATCAGATGATTTGAGAACTTAGAGGATAAGGCTGGTCATTTTCTGTATTAATAGTGTTTTCAGCAAATACCCATGAATTACCTCTACTCATGGTTAACGTTCTCTCCAGCCAGGATAAGGTAGGTCATCTGCGCCATAGGCCTCCATTGTTGTTCAGAAACAATTAAAAACACATCAGTGAAACACACAGCTGCACTGGGTGACACATTTTTTTCATTATTGATTTTGAATTAGTATTGGTTGGATATGTGTAATCATGTGTGTTATTGTCATTTGATCATTGTTCTGTTCTGTTCTGTCTGCATGTTTGAAAGAATAAATCAATCAATCAATTATGAAATGCCACACATGTGCTGCATATTTGTTAAAAATGTTGCCCCCAAATGCTCCAAACGACCATACCTTTTCACACATTTAAAGTAGCAAGACTCAACTACACATGCATGAGACCTCCAGGAAGAGTAGCTTATCTCATTGCATCAGCTAATGGGGATCATATTTGTGAAAACCAAATCAAATCTCTGTGACAGTATGAGGTGCTGGTGAACTGTTGGCCTCTGTATGGGAAGCATTGAAATCACTATTAATATAGTACATGACTGGTCTTATCCTTTGTGTAGTCCTGTCTCTTCATAAAAGAAGTGAAGGTGTCAGGGCTTTATAGTGATTAGACCTACTTATGTTCTCAGAATAGAACTTTATATCATCCAAAGGCCCTGAGGGGGGTGATGACAAAGGAGGATGTTTCAGAGCTGGTCGAGAGGGACTCAGTCCTGGGCTGCCATACTAGACACAGTTCCCATCTGCGGTCAGTTACCCACCAGGTGGCTTCTGCACCCATGCCAAGTGATTGTGGTCAGTATCTACATGCATAATCTCTCACACATACACTTATAGGGAGGTGTGTGACATTTCAGGCTAATTTACACACCACTGTATTTTTGATTATGCAGTTGAAATAATGATGAGCTGATGACTGGTTATGATTGTTGACCATTTAATCTGTGTACCACTAGGCAAGATTTATCAGATTAATCAAGGTTCAAGCAGTAATAATCATGTCTGAGATAATCCTGGTGGAACAAAAAAACTGAAGTCCTGAGTTCACGCTTGGTAATTATACTCACTGCTGCTTCAAGTTTTAGGGTGACAGGAATGTTTTTGTCATTGTTTATTATTGTAATTTTGTCATAGAATCAGTTTAATGTTAATAGTTGAACACAGTTTTGTTGGCTGACACAAGCTGATGACTGTACATGCTGGCCAAAAGGGGGTTCGCATACATTGAATCCTTTATCCAATGGATCAGCACTAAAATCTAATCAGTTGTCCCATGGGCCATACCCTACCTCCCCAAAAATATTCATTAAAATTCATTCATTATTTTTTGAGTTGCACTGTTAACACACAAACCAAAAAATGCTAGTAAAAACCTAACCCCTGCTCTTGGCGGTAGTAAAGTCAGAAATCAGTAAGCTGAAAAGCTTTGACTCTCTATTTTCTCATGTAGCCCAGTGTGGGTTTGACAAGTAGTACGTAATTCCACAAATTATTAAAATTTATACTTAAACTGGTAAAATAATCTCTAATGTGAGTACTTAATTTCAGATTATTATTATAGTGTCTTTTGAATCAGAATAAAACTTAAACAGATTCCTCTTATCTACAATACAGTTAGTAAAGTGAATGGAAAATAATCCTTATTAAATTTTATGTGTTGGTATTCATTGTGAAAGCAAAGCCTATTTGTTCTCAGGCTCAGCTGGGTCCTTTAATGCTTCACTTGGTTCATAGCATGCCATCCACTGTCATGACTAATTTCATTTGCCTCTTAAAGCACAGCAAGGGCAACTGTCTATTGCAGAAAGTCAGTGTGTTTGTGTACCTGCTGTCCTCCCATGCATATACAGGAGAAAATGGAACATACAGTAAAGCTTTGGATTTCCAGTTCAACCGATAAAGATGAAATACATTATTTTTTTTTTTTTTTTTTTTTCTGTTGTCCTTCACTTCACCTCCAGAGTTATCCTTCTTTGACCCCAGTGACCCACAGTGCCGGGAGGTTCTTCTGGATCCCAGCACCACCATACCAGAGCTGTTTGCTGTGCTCAGACAGTGGGTCCCCCATGTTCAGAAGAACGTCAACGTCATCGGCAATGAGGTGACTCCATACTACATTTCCGCCATGGGGGCGACTGTGGCTCAGGAGGTAGAGTGGGTCGTTTCCTAACCGGAGGATTAGCGGTTCGATTCCCGGCTTGTCCAGTCAACATGTCGAGGTGTCCTTGAGCAAGACACTAAACCCCCAGTTGCTCCCGGTGATGTCACCGGTGTGTGAATGCGTGAGTGCTTGGGAGTGCGAATGGGTGAAAGGCTGAATAATGTGTGAAAGCGCTTTGAGTGTGCTGTAAAAGCATAGAAAGGCGCTATACAAGTATAAGACCATTTACCATTTCTCACTGTCTACATGCTCTGATACTGGTTGATTACATTGCTTTTGTGCAAATATAAGAGCATGCACATACCCAGGTGGTATGTACTTTTGTGCTTTCAGTTGTCACAAATAACTCATTTACAAGTCACTGGGGAAACTACTTTAAGACAAATATTTTATTCATTATAACAGTCATAATATGAGTAGACGATATGAATAAAAGCTTGTGGGTGTTGGTGGAATCCCTGCCAACCCACCCCCATGCCACCTCCCCCAGAGTTGCACACAGTTGCTGCAATGCAGTAAATTATGCAAAGAGCCACTTCTGTCAAGGGTAAAACAGGTGATTAGTTTCTCTCAATAACTGCTACCCTTAAGAATTAAATGCCTTGATTTAGTGTCAGTTTGCACAACAATTCTGGTCCAGATTTGAATACAAGTGGAGCTATACGAGGACCATTGTGCTTGTTATTCAACAGCTCACCAGGTCCTTAGTGGCACACTTCATATCTTGTCTTTGTACAGATTCTAAAGAGAGGCTGTGGTGTGAACGATCGAGACGGACTAACAGATATGAGCCTCTTGCACTACTGCTGCAAAGCCGGGGCTCCGGGCATTGGTTAGTATTGACAGAGGACACTCAGCGGTTTACACAAATCTTTCTTGTCTGTGTGTTAGTTTATCTTGCTGCTCTCATCACTGAACATAATCCTGTATCACTCAGTAAGCACTGCTGTTCATCAGTGCTACTCTTTAAACGGAGTCTCTAGAGTTGACATATTGTCCATTACTCCCCCAGTCCAACAAACACATAACCATATCTCTCATCTGTTCCTCAGGTGATGCAGAGACAGCAGCCAGCTTTGCCTGCCAGCTCCTTGCTCTGGGTGCTGATCCTAACCTTCGCTCACGCTGGACTAACATGAAGGCCTTGCACTACGCTGCTTACTTTGATGTGCCCCAGCTTATCCGGGTGGTGGTGCAGGCCTCTCAGCCTGGAGGTGAGGACAGTGCTGCAGCCAGAGGAGAGAAGGGGAGGTTCGCTCCAACCCTCAGTATAGGACTAACATTTCTATTTTCAAAACGAGCTGTTGTGAGCATAAAGTCCTCAGTAAATTATTTTGATTGTGTGGTGAGTAGACTGATTGGTCCTTTTTTAATGTACACCCACACTAGCCAAATTTTCAGTATACATCATCCTTGCAATACAGCCCAACTTCATGAGGCTCATCTCTCTGTGGCAACTCTTGTTGGTAGTGCTGTTGTTGTGGTGAGGTTTTCTGACTTGGCCGATAAAGCTTTGCTGATGGTACTGAAACAAATAACAAGAAAGACATTGTAAACTACAGTCTGTCCTGAAGGTCCCTGACCATATCTTCAAATAGGGGTGAGTGGATACTTTTCCTATCAATACACACGAGTATAGACAAATTATGGCACATGGTGTCATTTTGAAACACAGGCGATGCTCTGTTTGCATTCAACTAGTTTTCATTTGTAAAATTTACGTGTGATAAAGCACATCATGTCATCTCTGGTCAAACAGCTGGATGAGCTGTGCCAATATACTGTGAGTAGAGAGACGAGGCCTGATGAACAGCTTGACAAACGGCTTCTACAGAATTTAACAAAGTCATGTAGTGTACACATATGTGACACTTACATTTATCAAGTGTAAATGTTGTCAAAATTAATGATTTTAGAAATGTTTAACTCACAGAATCCTGCATTTATAACTATATAACACGTTCTTAGCAAGATGAAATGATTCCCTTGTGGTTATTAACTATAAAAACATAAATTTTACATTCACAGCAAGTGCACACTTTTAGCACTGCTGTCCAGCAGTATCTCAAAATTGGGCGGGTAGAGTTTTGCATTTTTGAAGAAGGCCCGGTAGTGTTTGTATTTTTTTCTTGCAGCTCAGGAAAGTTGGGCTGCTTCAAGCGCTGCTGGTCCAGCTCTACACTGCTGTAATTGAGTACACTATCACATCCTCCATCTCTCTGCATCATTGCACTCTAAGCGGAAATTACAGCGCACTGTACAATGTGCAGGGAAAATCATTGGTTGCCAGTTTCCCTACCTTTAGGACTTGTACTCATCTAGGATGAGGAAGAGGGTGGGAAAAATCTATGGCTGATTGAGTGGAGGTTGAGAGCCCTAGACTCTAGACTCGGTGTTTATTGTCATGTGCACAGTGAGGAAACATGTTTCCCTGTACAATGAATTTCTTACTTTGCTGTCCACAATGAATGCCAAACAACGCATGGTGAAATATAAGGTAGATAAACAGCACACAAAGTAAGTGCAATTATACTTAAAGGCAAAGTGGGGTGCAGACCCAGTGTAGACAGTTTGTCGGGGACAAACGTGTTGAAGGCGGAGCTGTAGTCAGTGAAGAGTATCCTGATGTAGGAGTCTCTGTTTTCCAGATGAGAAAGGAAATAGTGTGGTGTGGCAGCAATAGCCTCTGAGGTGGCTATTGCTGGTGGTGGTTGGGCTGGTAGGCATACTGCAGGGGGGGTCCAGGGTGTCCAGTATACTGCTGTGGGTGTGGGCCAGCACCACCCTCTCAAAACACTTCATAATGATTGGAGTGAGCGCCACTGGCCTGTAGTCATTCAGACAGGTGATTGGGCTCTTCTTGGGGAGGGGTATGATTGTTGTGGTCTTAAAGCAGGAGGGAACGATGCTCTGGCTGAGGGAAAGGTTGAAGATGGAGGTGAGAACAACAGCCAGCTCTTTGGCACATGCTCTCAATGCCCGCCCAGGGATATTGTTTCGGCCCTGCCGCTTTGAGGGGATTGACCTTCCTCAGGGTTTTGAGTACCTGGCCTGATGTGATAGTTAGTGGAGGGGAGTGGGGGGTTGGGTGGTCCAGGTGTGTGTGTGCCTCCTCTGTGCTGTAGCTGGAGGTCTCAAAGTGGGTGTAGAAGGTGTTGAGGTCATCCGGCAGGCTGTCTGTGGAGCTGATGATGCTGGTGGTGGTCCTGTAGTCTGTGATGTACTGCAGGCCTTGCCATATCTACCCAGCATCAACAGTAGAATAGAAGCCACTCAGCTTCTGCTGCTGTGATGGCCTTCCTCAGTCTGTACTTCACAGATTTGTACTCTGTCTCATTGCTTGAACTGAATGCAGGAGAGTGAGCGCGCAGCATGTGGCGTACCTGACTGTTTATCCAGGGCTTCTGGTTGGGAAAATTCCTGACTTGTATGGTGGGCACAATGTTGTCAACACAAGTGCTGATGTACCCAGTCACATACTCAGCACAGTCCTGAATGCTAACAGAAAAGTCTTCCAAGGTGGCTGCAACTTTAAACACATCCCAGTCTGTCTGAGCAAAACAGTCCTGCAGGGTGCCCTCAGTCTCTGGGGTCCAGAGTTTGACTTGTTTGGTGACAGGGTTTGTTTGTTTCAGTCTTTTGTCTGTAAGCTGGCTACAGGAACAAGGAAATGTGGTCCGAGTGTCCGAAGTGGGGGCAGGGTGCAGCCCTGCATGCACCACCATGATCCAGAGTGTTCTTTCCCCAGGTGGGAATGTCCGCATGTTGGTAATTTTTGAGGAGTACAGTCTGTAGATTGCACTGGTTAAAGTTGCCAGTGACGATAAAAACAGCATCAGGGTGAGCTGTCTCTAGCGTGCCGATGACATCGTGGAGTTTTCTGAGAGCAGCTGAGGAATTAGCTCTTGTATATACATATACTCCAGCAAAAAACACACTGCTAAATTCTTTTGGTAGATAATGGGGCCGGAATTTCAGCACTAAAAGTTCTATTTGTCATTATCAGTGCTTATACACAGTCTGTATATCTCCACGCCATGAGTTGATAAATACACACACACACACACACACACACACACACCAACTACTTTGGCCTTACCAGAAGCTGAAGTATGGCCTCCTCGGTGCACGGAGTGAGTCTGTAGCTGAACTGTGGATTTTGGGACTTTGTCTGATAGCCAAGTCTGAAATTAGGGCACAACATTCCCTTATTTCCCACTGCATTGTAATCCTAGCTCCATTGTAATCCTAGTTCGTCCAGCTTGTTCTCCAGAGACTGCACATTCGCTAGCAAGAGGCTGGGTTGTGGTGGTCTGTAGTGATGGGAAGTTCGAATCATTTTACTGATTCGGTTCTATGAATCTCGTTCACCAAAATGAACGAATTTTTTTTTCACATCATTTCGTTCACTTCAGCAGAACGTAATTAAAATGTTACATGTTAATTCCCCATCTACTTACGCACATATTGATCACGTTTTGAATAAGAAATAACTGTAATGCAGCCAAGGTCATATGATAAATAATATTATTAGATTTTTTACCTGTTTTTTTTTTTTTTTTTGAAAGCGCGAGAAGAGAAGACAGGAGAGGACTGTATAAAATCAAAGTTTACTCAGTCTGGGCACAGGTCAGACAAGGCAGCGCTGGGATTAGAGAGACAGAGCTCACGCAGAAAAACTGTTCTCTGAACCACGAGGTATGTTTTCTCTCATTACATTTATCTTCTCGGGCTGAGTCCGCCCTGTACAGAGGTACAACATTTCACGCTTCGTAATCCTTTTGGCCATTTGGTGTGAGCAGGTCAACCCCTGCTTCACGTCAGTTTACTGTACCTGTGTTGGAAACCAAATGTGTGTGTATGTTGTAATTTTCAGGCGGTCGCTAGTAATCTGAGGACTGAACAATTGGTTGTCTGTGCTGCAGACCCCCTATCTGTATAGGCTATTGCAGGACCTAGTGAGTATGCTAAACGGGCCAGGTGGTCATCTCATTTTGTAGGCCCCCTGTCTCCGCAAGCTACATGACAAAGCAGAACTAGGAATATGCTAAGCGGGCCTAGGTGAAGATGCAAAACAGGCTAACAGGTTTGTGTTAAAATGTGAAATAGGCCATCTGGTTACTTGAAGGCACAGACATCATGTCTCTACAAAAGTTGCAGCATAAAGTTCCAGAGTTTCACTCAGTAGAATATGGCAGTCATCAATCAGTCATTTAATATATATAAACAAGGCAAATACAGGTATGAAAAGTAACAAAGGCCAAATAAAGTTATGAGGGGTAACTTAAGGAAACTAAAGTTATGAAAAGTAACTAAAGCTTATAAAGTAACTAGAGCCTATAAGATTCAAATTTTAGAATATGGTACCTGTGTCTTGAGGCTATGCAGTCTGTTACTTCATCACCCTACCTCCGGATATTTTGGGTCAAATTTGTTTAGTCTTTTGTCATGTAACATCCGAAGATAAGTTGTGCCGTGCTCTGCCATCTTCTGTATAGTATACAGAAAGATTTTCCCTAATTTCAAGTCAAAGCTAGCCTCTAACAATGGCCAAGAGAAAAGTTGATTCTGAAAACAGAGCCTTTCAAAACCGGTGGGAGGCTGAGTATGTGTTGACTGACATTGTCGGTAAACCCGTGTGTCTTATTTGTGGAGCTAATGTGGCTGTAATTAAGGAATATAACCTAAGACGACACTACGAGACGGTTGGTGATTTTAAGTTCAAGTTTATTTATTTTGGAATAATATTGTATCCTGTTTCGATTCATATTTATGTTCAAAAAAACATTTAGTTTTAGTCTGTTCAATAAATGTTTATCCTGTTTGGCCTGCGACCTAAAGTGTGCTTTGAGTTTTGGCCCCCTGTGCGATTGAGTTTGACACCCCTGCCATAGGGCCTGCACAAAAGAGCTGATGCAGTCTCTCCTGATTGGCTTTTTCTTTATTGCAGATGTAGATGCCACCTGCAGTGACTTTAATTTTGGCACTGCCCTGCACATTGCTGCATCCAACCTCTGCATGTCGGCTGTCAAATGTCTCTTGGAGCTGGGAGCTAATCCTGCTTTCAGAGTAAGTGACCCTGTTCCTCGACATACACGCACACATCAGCAGGTATTGTAATGTCCATACGAGTTTGAGAAAATATAGTTTTCAACAAATTAAAATGGCACTAGTCCATCAAGTTGTGCAGTATAATGCAATAAAATACAACAACAATTTCATTAGATTGTGGGTGTGGATGATGCTACTTCTGCCCTGTGTTTGCTTGCACATGTCATCAATCAGAAATACAAAGGGGGGGGGTTGACTCCCACAGTTTTCCCATGATCTATGCTGCTTATCTGGGAGAGGGTAGCAGGGGGCCAGGAGCCAGCCCCAGCTGATGTTGGGCAAGAGGTGGGTACACCCTGGACAGGTTTCCAGTCTATCACAGGGCTGACACTTAGAGAGAGACACTCACTCTTACAGGCCATTTAAAGTCGCCAGTCAACCTAAAGCTGGGCACATGCTTGACGACTGCAGTGCTGATTATGAATGGTGTTTGGATGTGATGACTGACTGGGCTGAGTCAGCCTCAGTCTGGGCCAGTTGTTGTTGATATTTGGCAGATAAAATCATGTGGCATGCGCCAAGTCTTAAGAACCATTTGTTCCATTAAAAAATTTTTTTTAAACATGTTTAATATTTATGACTGATATTTGTGATCGATGATGTCATGTGCATGTTCCCTGAGGGAAACATACCAGGTGTGCACTGGACAGCTAAAGTGAAGAAGAAAAACTGACTAAACTATGGCAGGAAAATGAACACCTCTACCACATTAACGTAATTCAAACGTGCACCACATCATACTGTACATTTCAGTTCTCTCTGTAGCTGTAGAGTCTGGATTGTGACTTCTCTCCATCCAGGATCTCACCCAATCATTGCACCCCCCCCCCCTTTTTTCCCCTTTTTCCAGCACAAATTGAAGTGTAAATTAGGTTGCGTCCATATTTATTTTAGTATGAGGACACATTGAGTGTGTTGTCCACAGAGGTTGATCAGTCCGTAAGTGCATGGCATGGAGGACCTGTACACCTCATGGGTCAAAAGAAGGGTGGAGAGGATCACTGCAGACCCCTCGCATTACAGAATTACAGTAAATGAGACTTTTCGTAAAAGATTTCCTATATTAGGTTTTAAAAAAAATATAATGGTATACAGTTTTACTTACTCTCCCAGGCCTTACATTCAGGTATTAGTTGTTTATTTTCATCAAAGCTGGTTGAACAGAAATGGTATTAATATTTTGTATGAATCCATTTTTCCACAGGAGGTCACCAAAGAGCTGCACACCTTAATTCAGTAATTCCCTTGCTCAAACACGAGTGTTTGATCAAAGCTTGGAGAGTATGTATATGTTGGCTCAGATGAACCAGCTTGACTTTTTGTAACCCTTTGTTTAGAGATATTGTAGGTTAGAGTCATGGATAATTATTCCTTAACTTGTCAAGGAAAAGTAAAATCACCATTGAAAGATTAAATTCTGTCAGCTTTATTATTTGTTTATCAAGTCTAAACCACTCGTGGGTGTACAGAAGTCATAACATTGAGTAAACTGATTTGAATCTTACTCAGAAGTACTGTACAAAATGTACAGGACACATGAAACAGCATTAGTTTTATGTTGCCTGGAGCCTGAGAATCCATAATCTAGTGGACAAGGTAGTTAAGTGAAACAATTGTCTGTATTGCATCACCATTGGTCCCATTTGTCAGTACTTTACATCTTTACCCTACTTTGGTTTGTAATTTGTGTCATTTGCATTTGAAAAATGGTGACTGTGGCTGGCAGTGGAGTAAAAAAGGCATGATACTAGAGCAG